AACGAAGAATCGCATCGTAAATCGGTTTCGACAGCGAGTATCATTACAATATATATATATATATATATATATATATATATATATATATATATATATTGTAATGTAATATATATTGTAATATATATATATATTCAGAAGTTTTGCAATTTAGATACAAACTCAACGATACAAACTCAACAATGCGGAAAATGCGGTGATATTTCTTAATAACTGAATATAAGACAGTCTGAACCCAAATATATATATATATTTTCCGCATTGTTGAGTTTGTATCGTTGAGTTTGTATCTAAATTGCAAAACTTCTGAATAGTTAAACCAGGTTGAAATTCCTATTGGCTACCATCAAATCTATTTTTGGCACCGATAAATTTAACTTATTATCTGAACGTAATGGCAAATGATGAAACGATCTTAGCCGCACGATTTTGGATTGACCAAAAACGATTATTCAATTGGTTTGAAATTCTGTAAAAAATGCTGTTGCAGTAATCTAATTTTGAGTGAATGTATGCGTGAACCAAACACTTCAAGGTTTCATCATTGACTGATATTTTACTAGTGTGCGAAGTTGATACAATCTTTAATCAACCAAAGTGCTATCAAAGTGCCAGTAAATGATAACAATAAAATTAGCACAATAAAACATAACACAGAAGCAATAAAATGTAACACTCAAAAGTTATTACCCCGAACGAAGAAACCATATCAATTACTAAAGAAGACAATAAAATCAACAAAGTCACTGATAACAATGAATGCAAATCACAGAAACAAAGGCTTGGGTTGTACAAATTTTTTTTATAAACTGCAAAAGTAATGGGTTATACAAATTTTCTATATAGACTGCTACAAGTTCTGAAGATGATTGTAAAATCGAAATAGGACAATATGATGAATACAATAAAATCAATAAAGTCAGTTATAACAATGAATGCAAATCACAGGAACAAAGGCTTGGGTTGTACAAATTTCTTAAATAAACTGCAAAAGTAATGGGTTATACAAATTTTCTATATAGACTGCTACAAGTTCTGAAGATGATTGTAAAATCGAAATAGGACAATATGATGAATACAATAAAATCAATAAAGTCAGTTATAACAATGAATGCAAATCACAGGAACAAAGGCTTGGGTTGTACAAATTTCTTATATAAACTGCAAAAGTAATGGGTTATACAAATTTTCTATATAGACTGAAACAAGTTCTGAAGATGATTGTAAAATCGAAATAGGTCCCATACAGTCGAAAGTAAATTGGAAAACTGTATATTATTCTTACATTAATAAAATAAATAGTGACGACAAGAATTTAGTTAGAAATATTGAGAATAGTAATGAAAACTATCCAACGCTAGATATTCGGTAGATTTCCTAAATTACTGCATTAATTATGGTCTTTTACCAGCATATATATATATTATATATACCAGCATATATATATATATATATATATATATATATATATAAAAGACCAGTATATATATATATATATATATATATAAAAGACCAGTATATATATATATATATGTATATATATATATATATATATATATATATAAACAACACAACAACTCAAGTTTAGACGACGTTTTCTCCTAAATCGAGGGTTGCCGTTTGGCTACCTATGATGAAACCGAAATACCCCTCAACGCCATTCATCATAAATATTTTATTGGCTAATTTTTACGCAGGACGCCCTTCCTTACGCAACAACAGTTATAAGCGGTGGGCCTAGCCTTTAATGATCCAACATCACTCACAAGGCAGTGAGGGTCAGTTTAATGCCATAACCAGGATATATATATATCAATCAATCTTCGAGGTAGGACGTTGTTTTCTTTGCCATCAACTTTTTGCGCCAAATTAGACGATCAGTTGTATCCATTTCATTTAAATTTAGAGCTTTCATGTCTTGCTCGATTGTTTGCGACCAGGACTTCTTTGGACGGCCTTTGGGACGTGTGCCAGGTACTTCAACATCTGCAAGAGAAGTTATGGCACTGTTTCCACTTCGTTTGACATGACCAAACCACCGCAGACGGTGTTGCCGGCATTCGTCCTTTATATCATCTAAACCAGCACGACGCAGTATTTCGGTAGATTTGATGTGGTCTTTCAGACTAATTCGTTGCATCCATCGGAGCATTTTCATGTCGGTTCGTTGAAGTTGTTGTTCCAGTTTGGTTGTCATTGGCCATGTTTCTGCACCATATAACAACACCGGACGTATCACAGATTTATAAAGTCTTGATCGTAGTGGTAGTGGGATGTCACGCCGCATCAATATAGAGGCAAAGAGATGCCATTTATTCCAGGCTGTACGTATGCGTGCTCGAACGGCAGCTTCAGCTGTTCCAGTACAATCCAGAACATTCCCTAGATATTGAAACGATGTGACTTTCTCTATTTTAATGGCTTCAAAAACAGTGCTATTTCGAATTTGTTGTTGTGGATTGATGCAAGCAGGACAAACAAAATTGGACACTTTAGATAAAGTACCAATTATTTTTGAACAACGTTTGTGACACCACTGGTTACACTGCTGACACTTGATTGAATTGTTACCTACACCAGCTTTACAAACTGAACAGGGCCAGTAGCTGTGGATTGGATGGGTTCACCAGTGTTCATTGCTTTGGTTTTGCTGATGTTGACTTTGAATCCATGATCGGCGAGTCTGGTGTTCCAATCTTCAAACATCTGTGCTGCATTCTGCTCAGACGTGGCTGTTAAAACGATATCATCAGCATATACTAGATTCCAAATGTCACCAGTGTGTATCGGTTTTGTGATTTCTTCCATCACAGTTATAAATAACAGTGGACTGAGAATCGAGCTTTGGTGAACTCCAACGCATATGTCAAATGCATCTGTGTTTCCAACCGTTGTGCTGACAAAAGTCTTAGTATTCGTATACATTTCCATCACAAGTCGAACAAGATATTCTGGAATGAATTGTCGACGTAGACTCCATCTGATTGCTTCACGGGGGAACTCGATCAAATGCTTTTTCAAGGTCTACAAAAATGTGTAGACTCCGCTAAAAAACCAAATTGATAATTTCCGATTGTGATGCACGACGTTAATCTTCTCTCAATGATTTTTTCGACAATTTTCAGGGAGTGTTCTAACAGACTTATACCCCGATATGATAAACAGTTCAATGGATCACCTTTGCTTTTGTATAGCGGGACTGTCATGCTATAGTTCCATTCCGTCGGCATTGAGCAATTTCTCCAGATTTCACGGCAAAGTTGTAGTAACGTTTGGATACCTGCAGTACCAGATACTTTGATAATGTCATTTGTGAGTCCCGAGGGCCCTGCCTTCATAGCTTTCAGAGCTTCTGTAAGCTCCTCTAAAGTGATGTCTGGAATCGGACATTCGATGGGTGGAGCGTCAAAGTTAA